AATGATTGATTGATTGATTGATTGAATGATTGAATGAATGAATGAAAGAGAAAGTATAAAACGTAGGGCGTGGATCAAAGGTTTCAGTGTTTTGACGGAGTTGGGCCAATCTCTTGAAATTCCGAACCCAAAGTGCTAAAACCACTTTTTCTTGATCACTCACTATATGTAGTGTTTTTTTAATGAGTAGAAATTGGGAACTAACGCAACGAACATGAACAAAAATGTAGCTGTGGCTTGATGGAGTTGGTCCAAGCCATTCGAATTGAAAATCGCCAGTGCCAAAAACCAAGCGCATGCGCTCACGCTTCGCTGTTGCTGTTGGTCGCCCACAGGTCCAGGCGGTCCAGGCGGTCCTTTCAGCCTTGGGCCGCTTTGGTGTGGGGCCAAAAAAGGGTCAAGAAAATCGATTTTTCTAACCCCTATTTAGGTTTCACATGTGCCTCAGCTTTGGCTCGTGCAAAATCAGCCACAAGCTGCCATGACGCATCATTGGTTGATGAGTTTTAAGGGTGGCATCAAGTAGTTTTTGAAAAACTGGAGAGCCGCAAGCATTTCAAGCACAGGCGCCAGAGTTGGGCCAAACTCTTGAAATCATTAAAGTCTAGTATGCCAGGCCCCTTGCCTACAATATGTTTGTGTAAGGGATGCGCGAGGTAAAAGCACGGGTCAAAACCCTGGTTTTCGGGAAAACAACGCAAAGTCGCCACAACAACCGGACACGACTCCCGGAGGGTCTATTGGATTTCGAAAGCCCAAAAACTTCAAGGTTGACAGGTATGCTGGAGCTAGGAGGCTTGCTGGTTGAAGCGAAAATACGGAAATGGGGAGATCCAACACACAAGCAACAAAGTTGTATGTCCTTACGGGCTGCGCTGTTGCAGGCAAGGGGATTAAAACGTGAAGTGTCCTAAAACGATGTTCGTTGATATCGTAGTCTGAGGACACTTTCGAACTTAAAAAACATCTGACGAGTAGTACACTGAACGTGTTTCGCTTGCCCTCGCAAGTTGCGCATTGTGCGCAATGCCACAACAAAAGCCTGCGTTCAGAAGTATGTCTGTAAATAAAGTCCAATGAGCTTGCCATGTGCCACATGCGTCCCAAGTAAATGCTTCACGGTTCAGCCAGGGAAATCAGTCGGAGGGTTGCGCGCCAGCGCACTTCAATCACATGTCTCCCACAGGAGAGCGTACAAAAAACCAAAGATGAATATGCCGACAAGTCTTCGGATCGCAAGCAAGTGCGCGAGTAAATCTGTGACATGGGATTCGCATGTAAAAGCGCAAGAAGAGCGCAAACTGCGCTGTCAGTTGCAGGAGTACTACGAGACCTCTGGCAAGAAAATGCATTTTTTGCTTGCATTCCCTGTGGTTGGCAAGGTACATTCACCCAAGCATCGTTTGGTGTTACAAGGGCGAGGCGACAATGCAGCGGCTCCAGGTGGAATGAAACGAAGCCCTAGTTTCAGCGAGAGAACGGCTGGCGCAGGCGCTTCGAGGGAACACCGCGTGAGTTGCAAGGATTTCGTTGCTTGAGAATTGAACGGGCTGCTTCGCGAAACATTTGACAAATTACTTGCGGGGCAACCTCCGTATGACTTGTGCTTGCCGGTGCCTTATGGGTTTTACACAGAAATTTTTACTTGTGACGTGTGCAGTGTAGGTTAGACATGCAGATATTGGTGCTTGTACTTGCAAAGCAGGAGGCCCGACTCAGGACCATCAAGCGTGCTCGTTCTTACTTGTGAAGTGGGAAGCTGAACTTTTTTTGCCGTTGACATGCATGTTCCCATGCACTCCCTCCATTGGTTTCTTCTTATTTTGGGGCGTTCTGGCTGTGTTTTTTTGATCCCGAGCAAATTTACTAATTTTGCAAAAATGGTAAATTTTACTAGTAAATTCTTCGATTTTAGTAAATTTACTAAAATAGTAAATTTACTATTTTTGCAGACTCAGGGTATCCTGACAAGGTGTGCAGCGGGCACAAAAGGGCCCCCGCCGGCGAGATAACTGACAATGGCAACGCTGACACATGTGTCACAGGCGTTGCGGCCAAGAACATGGAATTCTACTTTGAGGACAAAGTGCATCATTTTAGAATTGCCGATGTACTTGATACAGTTGTCGCGTCCGGATTGACTGCTCCTGCTAGTCGTCGCACTGAAATCAATAGGGGTCCCAAAAGGCGCTGTCGCATTTTGGCCCAACGATGGGATAGTTGAAAGGGAAGCTTGACGTGTTATTTGGCGACTCTAGGTACAAAGAGTGATGGATCCATCGTGGTCTATCATCAGGATCATTGGCGCAAGATGCCCCCGCAGAACCGGCTCAACAAGCCGAAGCCGAGCACCTGTTCTTGGTGACGTAGTGTTTCTGCCAACTGACATGGAGGGTGCTGGGAAATCCACGGTAGAAAACAATCCAATCCACGCCGTCTGCGGTTCCAGTACTTGTATTGGGGCATTGCAGGTGGGGAGTGGAAATGGTACAACGAACCTTGGTATTCCCGCAATACACCCGCGGCTTTCCAATCTGTCTATGTATATATATATATATACTCATGTGTTCACCCGCTTGCCGGATCCTGACTTTTCTGCCTCTTAGGGATGGTAAATCAAGAATCTCAAGATTTAAGTTCTCGAATTTCCCAATGGTGGGTGCCCCAGCCTCATAATCTGGAGCCGACTCGTCCGAAATGTCCCAACATGACATCCTTTCCAATTGGGATTTTACTTCCACTAAACTTGAAAATTTGAATATAGTTTGGCTAGGATATAGTTTTCAATCATGTGTTTATGTTCAACTACAGCTTAAAATAAGCAACACCTTTCCAAATAGGAGCTACGTGAAAAGATAAGTATAGTTGCTAAGCTTTAACAAAAGAAGTTAGATAGGAGTTTTATCCCGAAATGTAGGCTAAGGGTTAAACGCACTGTAATACGACCACAATCAAATAGCTTTTGATCATACCAAGTAAATAGAGACTACTTCTCAAACACAATTCAAACCAAATATGGCGAAACATCTAAGGGATTTATACAAGGAAGCTCGAAATACGATTTCTGTTTTCACATTCTGTCCCTTGTAAAGCATAAGAAAGGTCCGAAATTAGACTTGTTTGACGGTGTCAAAAGGAAATTTCAATCGAAGATCTCGAAACAGGGGTTCTAGCTAGATCAGTTGTTTTTCTGTTCTATTTGCAAAGGAAAACAATATTCATTCTATCTCACAAGGTGGAGGTAGTGTATGATCAAATGTGGACAGGGTGACGGCGTGTGAACACGCATGTGTGTTATATATATATATGTATATATTTGCATACATGCACCACATATAGTGCCCCTAATGATCCTGCGCCCTGTAAAAAATGTAAAGTATTCCACCACTGGATGAACAATTCCAGATTGAAGATTGCGCAGAAGACTTTCCGGAGAATTGTCAATCCTGGCCAACCACAACAACATTCAAGTTCTTCTAACATTGAAAGTGCTTCACCACTGGATTGAAGATTCAATATTGAGGATTGCACACACCACGGTCAAGTCACTTTAGACAGATATTTCCAACAGTGGGCTCATTTCGCAATTCTTTTCAGACTTTCGCGAAGAAGACATTGCCACCCATATAAACAGCATCTGCTCTTCTACGTTCCGGACAAGTTGTTTGTGGCATTCCTTCTCTTAATTTTCCCCATCATTTCATACATATTCTGGTCATAAACTCAATCTATTTCAACACAAATTACTTGGACAAGATCAATTTTGTTTTGGCATGGTTTTTATCGCTGATGTTATCCTTGCTTAATTGACCGCAACACATGTCTGTGAGGGTACTGGCGCAAGTGTATCAAATCCTCTCCGTCAAACCTGTGGCAATACCAAAGCATCTGCTTCGCATCCTCCATCTCTCTCATCTCAACTCATCTGAAATCCCGTTCGTTTGTCAGCTCACAAACCTTGGCCAATGCCAAACCATTTGCTCAGCCACCCTGTCTGCTGAAATAGTGAATGTCCCTGAAGAAAGTATGTTCTGCGCCAAACCTGCGAAACAGTATTGCAAACACTTTTTTATTCAATATCCAAGGGTTGGTGTGGAGTTTTTAAAGTCGTTAAAAAACATATACAATGTTCATATGCTGAACTATCAATTGTATTTTCCGCGCACAAGTCGAAAAGGATAATAAGGTGCACGCCCCGAACAGGAATGACTGAACACAGACACTTTAAAGCGCTTTAAAGTGCTCTTGGATCTAAGATTCAACATTCAAGATTCCCAGGACTCCTAAATGCAGTATGGGGCCCCCAAAACGCTTTAAAGCGCTTTAAACCTTCAAAGTTCAAGACTCCCAGGACTGTAAATCTTGAATCTTGAATCCTGTACGGGGCCCCCAAAGCGCTTGAAAGCGCTTTAATAAAAAGGATACAAGATCCTAGATCGTGAATCTTGAATCAACGCGGTTTAACGCACTTTCATGCGCGTTCATCATGGATTCAAGATTTAAGAACTAGAGTCCCCAACGTGCTTAAAAGCGCTTTCAAGCGTTTGGGTATTGAATTCAAGATTCAAGATCTAGAGTCGTGGGAATCTAGAATCTTGAATCTTAGATCCAAATGTGCGTTAAAGCGCTTCAAAGCGTTTTGGGGGCCCCATACTGGATTCAAGATGCAAGATCCAGAGTTCTGGGAATCTTGAATCTTGAATCTTAGATCCAAACGTGCTGTAAAGCGCGTTAAAGCGTTTTAGGTAGATACAGTCACAGTCAAACGTCAGCACATACGGGCATGGTTAAATGCTCGAAACTGGAGTGCCTCAAAAAGGGGGTGGAAATCGCGCAAAAGCACGGCAAATACCGTAACACGGCCAGGCGGGGCTGCAATGATAGCCGTGTTTAAGTACTGGCTAGTACTTCTGTGAATTTTTCAAACACGTGTGTCTGTGTGTGTGCGCATGTGTTTTGTGCTTTGAGCAACTGCAGAAAGCCTGCGAAGCTAACGCAAGGATGGTGAATTGCTTCATGAGCGCGGCCTACGTGGTGCAGAGCCCAGGATGGAATGTATGTTTTTGCACACGGGCAAGAAGCCTTAGAGAGGCCGGGGCGTAAGTCCAAGGCCCAGCAGGCCCCACAGCTATCACAGCTATCGCAGCTGTCGCAACTGTCGCAGCAGCTGTCGCAGCAGCTATCGCCGTTGACTTCGATGCCAGCGTACGTCCATCCTCCTGCGCCTGGCTTGGACTGGCCAGGGATGTTGGGAGCTTAGCCAGGCTTGATTCAGCCGTCACGCGCCTTTGTGCTACATGACGCCCTGAGTCGCATGTTCTTTTCCGATCCGTTCGAGGCCAGACGTATTTCCAAACAGCTTCGAATCTTTGCCAACTTCGACTTATTGCCAGCCTCTAAGCGCCGGCCGGATAGGACACTGTCTGCACATTCAACACAAGCCTAAGGTTACGCCCAAAGCAGGACCGCAGTTGCTTCTCTAAGAGTTCTCCTTTCAACGATTGACTCGGGCCGTTTGAGGCAATGGAATTGCCACGATTTGTGAAGACTTCGAATTGCCACGATTTGCTACCTTTGATACCTCTGCGGGTGCCAAGGCCCACCAATGCCAACCGGCTCTGCCGTTCCGGCACCAGCCATGGCAGGCACTCTGGCACTCCGTTTGTCTGGGGTCGCTGCATGACCACGGCCCATTGCTGGGATGTGGCGAAGTGTCATACTTGATCATTTGTTTTTCTAAGGACGAACCCCAGACTTAGTTCCCTGCCCTCAACCAACTCCAGCTGGGGGTCCGGCTTTGTGCCTCACTAGCGCGCGACCTGCATTCTGCGGTGTGGTTTGCTTCAGCTGCTCCTGGTCAGAAGCATGCCTGCTCGCAGATTTCGTGCGAGCCAAATGGAAACTCAGGCCAACCAGCCTACCCGCTTGGACATTCCAAGTCACATGGTAGCAGCAGCAGAGCATCGGCAGTAGCGCCGGTAGCCTTTAGCACGCAGACCTTTTTCTTCAACATCTCCTTTTTGCAGTGTGTGTGTGTGTGTGTCGGATGTTGTTAATCTCTCTTTTTCTCCATTCTAATCTGTGGAACTTGCTCCAAAAATGAGTCCTCACGGCCGCGTGAAGATGACTGTGTTGGGAAAAGAGAGCTTCTTTGTGCCTGACAGAAAAGACGGTACAAGCGAATCCCAAGAAGAGCCCCATTGCGCCCAAAACATAAATCCCGTTTTAATTCTTCTCGCCAACATTCAGAGGCCCTTAGAGCAATTCAAATTAGGTAGAACTATTGCCATGCATGCTTGAGAGAGAACAAGGAAGCCAGCAAGCAGCCCTGCAGCCCTGCCTACCAAGTTTCTCAAAGTAGTTGAACCCACATAAAATCATGGTCGCAAAAACCCAGGGAAAGCTTTAGACCGCCCAAAAGAATTGCATCAAAATTAAATTATTCGGAAAGCCAGACTTGTAAGCCATGTGCCTGAATGGTTGCTATTTGGTGAGTACTTCAGCATCAATCAGCTCCAGATTTAGAACTTTTCGACTCTGCTACAGGTGATATGATTCCCAGTGGCAATTCAATGGACATGATACATTCGGCCCGTGTGCGGGACTAAGTTCTTCTGCACTGGCACTTACAGATCATGTCGCCTGCAGGTTGCAGATGTGCCATGTTTAAGATCACCATGTTGAATCAATCTTGAAAAGGGTTTGAGACCACTACGTTGCCAATTTTGCAGGCTCTTTTGAAGGAGTCTTGACCATGGGACATACATGCCGATTTTTTTCAGACAGGCAACATTCAAGGATGCAAGGCTTGCGAATGGTTTTGGAGACTGCGTTGTTGATGTCGAATTGATGGCCCAGCGCCGCTGCTTTCATTCTAATCAGATTGGGGCTTGATGTGAATCAGAGCGGATTGTGGCCATTTTGTATGCAGCAAGGGGTCATCCAGCCTGCTGCACGCGCGAGAGTTGCCAGCAAGGCTGCAAACCGTGCAATGCATGTCCAGAAGAAGAGCAAGGGAGGCCGGCAGTGTTCATGATGGGCCTCCTGCACATTGTGCAAAGCACGAAAGGCTGGCTCAACGAGAACGAGGCACTTTAGGTGTTTGCCTGGCCGAGTGTGGATGGATGAAACTTCAGGAAGCAGCTCAGTCCTCATCTCCACCATCAAGCTCTACGGAAAAGACGAGTCTTCATTCGGACAGCTTTGGCTCTTTGGTGCTTTGCCTATTTGTGTATCCCGGCAGAATCGCGCGGCATTGCCAGGACAAGAAGAGCACCTTGGGGATGCATCTTACGCAGCTGCAGAGTGAAGACCCGAAGTCAGTCACCCAGGGCCCAGATTCAGGAAGAACCTTTGGTCCCCATACACCAAGCGCGGGCAAAGTCACGTTCCGTGCGCACTCCCGCATTCAAGGTGCGTCTTCATTGCGAGCCGGGCTCAGCTTGCCTGACTTTCACTCAAGCGCCGAAATGGCCTTGGCGAGGCGACGCATCAATGGCATGGGATTCCAGTCCAAGGACCCAAAGACTCTGCACAGAGACGGCATAGCAAAAGAAGATGTTACCTTCAGTTGCTCAACTAATGTTAGGGCATGTGAGAATTAATTCGGCACCCAATTTGTTGATCCATTTCGTGGCTCCCATTAAGCAAGCCGCGCAAGGACGTGCTGAGTGCTCACTACGAGCAGTATGGCAAGGTCTTAAAGGTTCTGGTGGCCCACTCCAAGGCTCTTGCAAGAAGCGATCCCTCAGGTCCTTAAAAGCTGGTTGCCCAAAATCGCTGGTTGACAAAGTTGACACTCAAGTGTGTAATTTTGCAGTAGGGTTGTGATGTGATTGATGGGTGATAGTGGATGAGGGAACAATGCTCTTAGGCAATACTTTGATAGTTTGTACATTGCACATTTGCGTACGCATATTGTTATCCGCTTGATTGATTCCCACCTTAGGGTAGCAAAAGGCTTATCCAGGATTGACAACTACTTATCCGTCAATAAACATTTTCACGCTTACTAGACATCAGCACATAAGACTCATGGGTCAAGTTCGCATTGTCACAGAGGACCTACCGCATGATTAGACAAACCACCATTGGCCATCAACGAACAACTTTTTCCCCACGATGACATCAAGCCTAAACCTGTCCAATCAGGCATACCCAAACCCACCCTAATTCACACCAAAAAAGCCTAGTCTCATTCTGATGGTCACCGACCACTTGTAAAACAAGTGAATTGAAAATAAGTATATGTTTGCGAATCTGTATTGATGTGAACAATTGATTGCTGCATTCGTCAGGTGTTGTATGTTCTGATGTGCTCAGGCGAATAAGCAAATATACAGTATACATATTATGTATTTACATGCGAGCCCCAGCTTGTGCATTTCATCGGCATTGGAAGCAAGACTTATACCCGCAGCCCCTTTCCTGGATACAACGCAGGGCATCCAAACACTTAAACATGCCAAGGCATTGCGCTTGGCAACAAATTTATGTATCCCCGTCAGTCGCTGTGCACATGTCAAATATTCCCAAGCGGTATGACAAACAAACACACATCCCGGACGACTGGCAACCTAAGGACATTTTCACATTGCGCCCTGTTGGAGTAAGCCGTCATATCTATGTTTATATATATATATATATATTTAACATATGTAGATGGGTGACAGTTTTGGTCTGCAGGGGCTCTCAGTGTTTGGGCCACACCCCCAAGCCAAAAACACAAGAGGATACATATCCTTCCCGCACTCCAAGTGCCATTTTCGCTAGACTAGCCAATGCTGGAAGCCAGACATTCTTCCCTTCTTTTTGCAGGTCATGCATGCATGCTTGAGGCAGACTGTGTGTTGAGAGAGTTCCTCTACACTAACGCTTTGTGTTCATTTGGGAATGTCTCTCAATTGTCATTTGGCTGAGTTGCCACCACGTGCGCTTGGAGGTGAAGCCGTTTCGCAGACAGGGCGCACAGTCTCGAATCAGACCTGGCAGCGACAGCCTCAGTTTTACACTTAGCCTTGACCTAACGGGCTAATCGGGTAAGGATGATTGGCGCAATTGCCGACAAGTCTGAGTCAGGTTTGGGCTTCATCGTCATGGACTCTCCTCACAGCGTCCTTAGCTCGGCTGCGCTGCTTGCAACGCCTCGGCACACTTGCTCGAAAGGTGGAGAAGATTCTGGCGGTTGGAGCAAATCAAACTGTCGCTGGATATAACATTAGCCAAGCTCTCAGTTTCCAAGTCACCGCAGCAGCTTTTTCTCCTGGATTGCCACTTTGCATGACCTAACCTGTGACTGCTCTTATTGCTTATGCGTGATTGGCTGCGGCTATGCTTGGAGATGCCCTCAGACTGACTTTCAGGGTCTTGTTGCTGTGGCCACATTTGGAGTCTCCACTTCTCATCATTATTCGCCACTTTACTCGCCACTTTTCTCGCCACGTCAGGGGACTCCTGACTCTGCTCATTAGCCAGGCTTCACATTCAGCACCAACTGTATTCGCTTGTGATTCATCATTCTTCAGCACTTCCGAACTACTATTAGCTGAGTGTCTTGGCAACAAGCACCCGTACTTGTCTCTAAAACACGTGCTTTTGGCTGCAGGCCATGCGTTCCCGCGTTTTTTGGTGGTGGCCTGCGCAATCGAAGCTGATTTAGTGACAGATACGGCCACTGGTTCACGACGTGAGGCACACTTTTTTTCTGAAGTACCAGCCCGCTCTTTTTGTGTTTTCTCATCCGTGGCAAGCTCCAGGTTGGTATGACTCGCGTCATCTCAGGTCCTCTATTGGTCTCGGAAACTCTTGCATTTGTACCCGGTGTTTGTTGGGTAGGAAGAACGTCTTGTATTTTGCGTTCAGGGCTCAAATAAAAGATCAACTTTGCATAGGTTCCATGGCTCCGGCACCAGGATTCGACATTTAGCAGGAACCTTCTTAGCATGTGCTCCTGCTAGGATTGTTGACCCTGCTAGGATTGTTGACCGTCCGGTGACTCGCATTTCCGTTTCGTGCTGGCAACTGCACTTTTGACAGCTCGACTGATGATTGATAATGCATCAGTTTTGCCCGACGAACCTTTTTGGGTGCCACAAATTCTCTATACTTGAAAGATACCTTTTGCTGTACACTGTGCTTTGTCTCTCTGTACTCAGTAGTGAGGGAATGCAAGGAATGCTTCTTGGCACGAGCCGCTCTCCTTTTTCCCCTTCGTCAGCGGTTTGCGTGCCGTTGGCAGTTTTTCCTTGCTGCTCCTTCCTCAGCGGTGCATGCCTTTGCATGCTCGGGCGCCGCCCGTCCAGCGCGTTGCTCTTTGTTGTTGTTTCCCTTCTGGAGTGCGAGCCTTTGCGGGCTGGCCCGTTTCTTTCTCCTCCTTTCCTGTGCCTGCCTTGGTCAGTCTTTTCGCAGGAAGGACCTTCCTTCCTTGCTTCCTTCCGAAAAGGCACGAGCCGCTCGAATTTCTTGGCTGGGCCCAAGTGGAGTCCAACCTAGGCGAGCCGCAGGCCTCTAAGAAGCCGAGACCCTGACAATGCAAGGGATACAGGTTGAGAAAGTGTAGGGATCGCAGGGGCATGAGCGATCACGGAGGGAGTCAGACCATTGCGAAGTTTGTGGTGATTTATGAGCTAATTTGGGGGCGTGATTCTCCCAAGCGGATGTTTGATGGAGGCCAAGCCGAGACCCAGCAAATGAGGGGAATGCAAATGCCGCTCGACGCGTGATTTCTTGGCTGGTCCTGCCTTTGGATAGCCAACGCAGACATCTAAGCAGCCGAGGCGGCAGGGGTATGAGTCGCTTTGCACGCGCATGCGCGTACACACACAACCACACCAGCTATTGCGACCTGGCCTCGCTTGGCCAACAATCCTTGCACCTTGGAATTTCACCGTGACTTTTACTGGCGTTCTGACCTGGTACGTCCCTGCCGATGCTAAGTCGCGCTGCGGTGACGGAGTCGGGGCGTGCTCGCGCCAACGCCAAAGCAGCAAAGTGCGGTCGAGAAGACGGCGTTTCTTTGTGGAAGACTCGCAGACCTGTCCCCGTCATTCTTGACCCCCGCTGGTCAAAGTCTTCCAGGCACGCGGGACTTCAGTAGCGAGATATTGGCGTGACGTGGTTGCGCCGACTTGTGGGTCTTGGACACCTCCGCCCTTTTGCAAACCGCTTCGTAGCAGAAAGTTTGGGTCAGAACTATTGCAGGCCCTTTTCCCTGTGTTTGGCGAGCATATGCCGGGGTTACTTGACTGCCCCGCATGCGCGGACCCGCATGCGCGGACCCGCATGCGCGCAACTTTTGGCCACGCTGTCATGACTTTGACCTGATGACAGTGTATGCTGCAGGGTGTCCAAAAAACAGCGGCTCAGTTGTTGCACAAATCGATGGCCAGCGCAAGTCTATTGCACGCCCAAACGGCTCTTCCACCTGTCTTTGCGTAGCTTGGCGGCGCATCCGATGCAGCATTTTCTCAGTTTTTTTTACAGCAGCAGTTGATGTGTGCTGCATCAATGCATCACTGTCATCTCTGTGTGCTGCTATGGCATTCAATCGATTTGAATTGCCTGAGATCGAGGGACTTGTCCCCCCCCCCCCTGTGGCTAAGGGGTCAAGGAGACCACGCGCGCTGCCCGATGTTGGGTCGACGGTGTGATCTGACGGAAAGATTGTTGTGGACAACATGCCTCGTTTCCTCCCACCCCCCGACTCGCTACTTGGCCATTGCCCGCTATCATTTGCCCCGAGAAGGGGCTTGTTGCCTGAATTCGAGAAACTCAAGGCTGTTCAGCCGCGAAATCCGCCTCACGATTCCGAATGCGACATCGCTTAAGGACAGCTTTTCATGTTTGCACCCGCGCAGGACGAGTTGCGACACCCGTCAAAGGGATGCATTCTTGTGCCTTCCCTTTGTCGGCATCACAATGACACAAAGTTGTTTGGCTGGGCACAAATGTCTCACCATCGGGTGTTATTTTGGGATCATGTACTCGTAGCTTGACTCGACAGGTGTCGAGCGATTCGAGAAGATTGCAAAGCCCCTAGATGCGAAACCCCAATCCACAGTTCCTTGGATAGCAAAGATTGGCATTGAATAGTCTGGTTGTCGAATTGCGCTCTTTGCTTTCAGGCCGGGGATTCAACAACGCACGGCTCAACAACCACAGGATCAGGTGAGTCAGTGGCAGATGTTCAGTGCACAAATGAATGAGCATGAGTTACTGGAGAAGCAAGCAGACGCAAACTGATGGCAGCTGGGCAGGTTCTGGAGGAGGTTCTGGTTCTGACAAAAGTTCGGCTGGCAGTGCTAACGGCCATGGCGATTCCAACGGCTCGGACAAGAGCTCCGCTGGTGCCAATGGTCTTGGTGAGAGTGGATCTGGAGGTTCAGAAGAAGGTTCTGACAAAGGCAGGGGCGCAGGGCCTTTTGCACAGCCAGAGTTTTGCTGACATCGTATAGGAAATGGCTTCTCAGCAGATGGCTCGCAGCAGAAGGCGGAGGCTTGGAGGGTTGGATCTCAATGACTTGTACGGTTGTCTAAGAGTTGCCGAGGGAAGCTCCGAAGACTCAAACGGTGGAGATGCTGATTCGCAGTCTGAATCCAGCAATCGAGCTACGCCTGGAAGCCAAGTGCGTGTGAGCTGGAAGTGTTTTCTACAGATGCCGAAAGTGGCGCTTAGGTCTCCCGGCACGGGCAGAAAGAAGGAGGCACTCGAAGAAGGAGTGCTGCCCGGTGGCCTCCTCAACTTGAACTGGCTGAACCATTGGCTTGTTCATGCGAGGTGTTCAAAAGTTTAGCTCTTTTCCATTTTGAAAAGGTAGCGCAACTTGCACTTTTGAAATGGATGGCGCAATTATGCGCCAGAACAAATAGAACTTGTCGACTGGCAGCAGTCAGAGATTCTTGTCGCGAGTTGCTCTTTGAGCAGCCAATAGAATACACGGCTTCGCGACTTGAGAGGTCACCATGACGAGCCAAGTCTCTTTTCGAGAGTCTCTTTCAATCTGATACCCTTGCACGTTGCAAGGTGAATCTGAGAAGACGGATAGCTGATGCTTGGCAATTGAGCGCACGCTCATGAACTGGCCGCTTGACTCGCCTTGGTATTGTTGCAGATCTTTTGCAGTGGGCCCGGTGAAAGAAAAACACTGCTCACGAGTGGGTCCAACTAGTTCATTGTTCACGCTCGAGTTCAGAGAAAACTAGAAAGACTTGCGTTGCACAGCACCTCTCCCGGCCAGGAAACACACTGTTGAGGAATGCTTACTGTGGCCAGCCGACCAGAGTCCCACCAGAAAGTCTGCACACCATGGCAGTGCAGTGGCAGAATTCTGGTCCAAAATCCTGAGATTTACTTGATGCCCAAGTCTTGCAGCGAGTTACGAGAGCAATACGGTTTGTTTAGCTGATTGATGGCGAAAGACGAGTCGAGATTGCAAAATCATCAACGTTTTCAAAGGGTTGCGCTGAGGTAGCATAACGCTCTCGGTTCATCAAGGGCTGGATGCCCTGGCAAAGTGCCGCGTGGAACTCAGGGACAAGCATACAGTGCATGTGGCAAACATGCTACACGCTGCTTGTACTGAGACTTGCGCAACAGATCCTTTCGAGATTGTGCTGGAGCTGACCAGTCGTACAGTCGTGAAATCAGAAAATCCAGTCTGCTTGCAAGCCTGTGATGCCCCTTGTCGTTATTGTACAGGTCATGCGCCAGATTTGTCAAGGCTGTTAAATGCGCACTTTTTTCGGTGTCATAGGCCAGCAGACGCTGCGCTGGAGCGCCAGCTGTTGCTCCCTTTACTGGTCCTTTCAATGGCAGCAAAGGGAAAGCTCAGCTACTCAAAGTTCCACTGTCCCGGGCCCAACTCCCATGAGGCCAAATTTGCCAACCTTAGTACAAGTTAGCCCAGGGCATTGGCATAACAGGCAGGAATGCCAATCAATACAAGGAAAAAGTGATGGCCACCCTTTGCCTCATCACTTGGTGGTTGGGACAGATTCAGCCAAGTTCCTTGTGGCAAGTGCTCAGCACATGGTGGTCAAGAGCGAAGACGTTCCATGGATACGCATTGGAGCAATGCTCCGCTTTGTACGATGGCAGCCAGCGAGATGAAATTGCGAAAGTGCCACGAAACTCAACATGTGTGCTTTGGACTGGCTGCCATCCTCGTAATGTAGAAACTTTTTTAGCACATACCACGCGCCCGCTGAACTCAAGGCGTTTGTGGCCTGTCTCATTTGCCTGCATGCCTGTTGTAAGTTCAACATGGCTGCAGGCAAGGCAAAGATGCCAACAGAGGTGGGACGCACCGGGCTCTGTTCAGAAGACTTGTCGGATCTGCTCTCCAAGGCACCACGGTTGGCTGTAGTGACGTTTACTCGATTCTCCGGTCTTGGCGACTTGGCTTCAAGCCTGCAAGCCAATGCCAACCTTGCCAGAGTGCAGATTAACAGGCAAGCATGAACAGTGTGGCCTGAGTGCGAAAACCGCCAGAGCCAGGCAGTCAATTGAATCAATCAGAGTTCCTGGGCCTCATCAGCTGTGATCTGCTGACTTTAAACAATGTCCAATGGCCACCATGTCCCTGTCCAGACATTGGAGTTTTGACCGGAGGCAACACTGCTTGGTTTGATTCTGTCTTTTTCTCCAGCAGTTTGTAGCTGATTGAGCGCGAGTGCTTGCGCCTCGACTTGCGTGCCTTGCAAAAGAGGGCAAACACAGTGAAGAACAAACTCGCATCAACAGCCAGAAAGAAGCCAAAGATGGGCTTGGCAACTTTGGTAATTTGGCACAGAGGAGGAGCTGAGCTGCTTTTCGTGCACTGTGAAATCTTTTCCTCAGTGCGATAGTAGGTCAAGCTTCAAATCCTCCAACTACTGCCTCTGGGCTTTTTGAATACAATGTGTTGCTCACAGTCTCAATTGTTGCCGTGATTATTTTTTGCTCAGAGACAATGCAGACTCAATCATGTGACACGGTGTTTAAACAGAATGCTCTCGTGTTGAGCCCACTCAACGATCAAATCCAGATGCGCTTGGTGTTTTTGACAGTTTCGACTCGCTTGGATGCCTAGTTGTCCACCCTTATTGGCTGAAGTCAATCAATACACCCCCAACAGTTTTGTTGGAGGGAAACGGAAACATGTCCTACATGTCGTTCACACACTTTCCCTGTTGAGTGAGCTGCCCGAGGATTCAAACAGGTGCTGTTGCTGTCGGCAACACTTTTGTGGATTGTGAGGCATCCTTTTGACAGTTTGAATGACGTTGTCAGTTGAATAGCAATAAACTTTGCTGATGCTGCAGCACCCCCTCTTTCAAGAGCTGTGCTGACAAGCTGACAAAGCCGACACCAGTCGTTCCAGTCACAGGCACACTTCATCCAACGGCTGCGCGATTCACCGGCACCAGGCTTTGTCACCTTGTTCAAAAAAAAGGCGTGCGCCTGCAGCAGCCTGCTCGAGGGTTGGAACATATTTGCATGTGCAATTTGGACACTTGCTGCAATGCAGACTTTTATGATTGGCTATGCCTTGTTCTCATCCATATTATTCATTGGTTTCGGAGCTGTTCCCTGGCTATGCTCTGAATCAACCACATTTTGCTGGTCAAGATACCCAACGCTTTGCCCGAGGTAAGGCCGGCGAAAGACCCCGCGGCCCGCGGGAGCAGCTGGAGCTCGAATATGGCAGGGTGCAAATGGAGTTGGATCAGCCAAGAAGCTCCCAGAGCGACCATTTGTGAACATCAAGATGACGGGCTCCTGCCGCTGCGTGGAGAAGGGTAATGGGGCGGCGCTTGCTCATCCATGCGCTGACGCAACATGGTGTCTAGGCTGGTGATGCGCGTGTGGCTTCTGGCGCTTTGGCGCGGCTATTTGTAGCGAAGTTTGGCTCCCTCAGCGAGCTTCTCGCACGCAAATGGCGTGAGCGAAGGAGTCTGAGCTTCGGCTGTAGTCTACGGTTATATTTGGGCAGGGCGTGAGATGAGATCTACACAACTTTCCGTCGTGGTGTACTACATTTCCAATGTCCGCCGCCAGAGTTTCAGCAACCCAACGCTGGCTGATGCTGACGCGCGCTCAGGCGGATAATCGTTGAAAGCGTGATTTTGACAGGCCGTAACTCCGCTCCACAGAGCGTTTGAAGCATAGCGCAGTGTTGGTAGATGAGCTGGCAATTGCGATGGCTACAAATTGTCACGGTTCCAAGCGCCCGTGAGGTTTCACGGGGGCAATGCAGTTCCAGAATTTCACGAGGCTGAAAGTTAATTTTGCCGGGCCGCGCTTGCTGTTGCGTTGGTTGAGCGCAAAAGGGGTGACGCGCGCCGTGAATAGAATTGGCTCAATCGCGTTGGCGTGCCACTTCCAGAAGAAAGCCCATGTGCTACTCGTTGTGGTGACACATTGACAGGCCAATTGACTGGCGTTGTTGTTGACGTTGGTGCAAATTTCTGTTGTATTCAATAGCTCGGAACAAACGCAAGCACGTGGGAGTGAGAGCCAGCCAAATGCAAAGCCGCGCATGTCTTTTCGCCTTGGCTGCCTTCACGGCCGAGCCCTTATGAGTTGTTCAGGGTGCTCCGTTTTGCTTAGAATCTTTCTGCAGTCTGGCGTCCAGACTTTCTAGCCAAGGGCGCTTTGCGGTTGGCGCTTTCTGGGGCGCAGGCCGTGCGTGCATCTAGAGCTGAGCATTTTCAATGTTGTTCGTCAGGGGGAGGCCCCGAGAAAGCCTAGGCCTTGCCGAGCTGCGCGTTTTCAATTCTACTTTGTTGATTGATGCTGGCAAATAGATGTGTGATAGGAGGTTGGAGCAGATTGCGCGTGGAGCTGGCAAAAGAGAAGGCGACGGCTCGTTGTCAGCGTCCCGTACTAGCTGTGACGCATTTGCTGCAAGGCCCGTCGAAGGGCAATGCTATGGTGCTCTCCTGAGTGCGTGACAAACTGCGCGTGTGCAACGAAGGCTGTGAACACGACATGTCAGCCCTAGGAACTTCCTTGGTGGCAGCTGGAGGACGCGTGGGCGTGTGACGGAACAGCTGCCGTGTTGAATCTCACAGTTCGGCGGGGGGACGCGCCTAAGAGAGACGAACGGATGCTTTGGCGCTCGAGCCGCGCCAGGCGCGCGTGCGCGCGCGGTTGTGCGTTTGTGCTTCCCAGTTGAGGAAAAGGTGTTTCTTGCTGGTGCTAGCAGGCGCAAGTTGCTGGTACCGGCGTGCGCCAGCGCGTGCGGGCTCATGCAAAGATGCTTGAAGCTTCTTGCTTGTGCCGTGCCAACCGCAGGAGGAAGCTGAGCGCTTGATGGCGCCACGAATGCCGTTTCGTGTTGAGCAAGTTTCCCCGCCGCCTGTCACGAACTCAGAAGCTTTGCGGTGCTTTTTTTGAGCTTGCTGTTTGACAGGTCAAGAAGTTGGGGTATGCGCTGCTTGATGCAAGGCGCGGTTGTGGAAACACATGAGGGTTATTTTTGGAGGGCCATTTAGTTTTAGGTTTTTTTTGTTTTTTTAAAGGTTTTTTTTCAAGGTGGGTTTTTTTTTGGCTTTTTTTGCTTTTGTGGCTTTTACGTGGGTTTTGGTGGTTTTGTTGCTTTTCAATTCGCATCCTCTGCATTCACAGTTCCTCTCTTGTCGCATCCTCTGCGTTGCCAGTTCCGCTGCGGCAAATAGCTTTTTGGCTTTGTGGCTCTTGGCGGCTTTCTGGCTTTGGCTGCTCTGCTTTCCCAGTTGGTTTTTGGCCTTGGCTTCCTGCATCCTCAGAATCGCAAGTTCCTCTCTGGCCACCCCCGTTCGATTAACATACACGCCGAATTGAATCATCACTTTTTCGATCATCGTGCGACAGCTACTTTTTAGATTCTTCGCCCCCCCCCCCCATTTTCCGATCATATAAGGGGGGCTGCCGCCCCCCCAACCCCTGCTGCTTTTTTTCTCTTTTTTTTTGCCCTAGTTGAATCATCACTTTTTCAATCATCATGGGGGGCTGCGGGGGCTGCCGCCCTGAGGCCTCCAGTGTGAGGGAAAGCCACTAGAAGTGTCTGAAATCGATGTTGTGGAGTGCAAAACGTACAGCGAAGCCGATTTCGAACATTGGGAAGCATTTGTAAGGCTTTCTTGAGGCTCTACAAGCACGTACCCTCGGCTTTTTAGATTTATGCCCCTAATTGAATCATCGCATTTTTGATCACCATGAGGGCTGCCGCCCCCCCCCCCGGATGTTTGGTAGAGATTAAAATACACCCCTAATTGAATCATCACTTTTTCAATCATTATGGGAGGGGGCTGGCTTCCTGCATCCTCAGCGTCGCAAGTTCCTCTCTGGTGCCCCCCGCCGCCCATCTTTCGATTAAAATGCACGCCTACTTGAATCTTTTTTGATCATCGTGCGACAGCTACTTTTTAACTTCTTTTCCCCTAATTTTTCGATCCACTGTTTCAATCATCATGGGGGGGGGGGCTGCCGCCCCCGCCGCCCCCTGAGGCCCACTGCCGGGGTACCTTATCCCAGAAGGGAACTGGTGCCCTTGTGGTAGTTGAGGTCGTTGTTTAGGTGCCTGGATCTATTCCGGAGAGAATCCTATGCCACTATGGATGATTGGAGGATGGATTGTCCCTGGTGGGTTGTCTTGTGGATAATCCTGTAAGCGGCCTGCAAAGGTTCCTTTGTCACGCAATCATGAGTGTTGCTATGATACAGAAAGGGCCTTGAGCCAAATGGTTGCGGGAGATCAATTGTGTAACAAACCAAACACAAAACAGACACAAATTTCTTTTGATCTCCAGCACCAGATATGAAATACTATTGGCTTCATGGCCTTTGGCCGTAGCCTTGCTGTGTGCCGTAGGCATGCTGTATGCCGTAGCCATGCTGTATGCCGTAGCCATGTGTATTAAACAGCCGGATTCATTCTCTTTCTGCTCGGATGAAATGTCTTGGCTTGCGAAATGGGAAAACACTCTGTACTGCTTCTGAGAGATACCTAGATGTATCAAATGGTGATGTACAACACTATGTACACGCGGGACGAATGTGAAACTATTGATCTCTCACTGTATAGTCTTGTAGGCGGTGAGGTGATTTGAGTTCGTAGTGCTGAACGTATGAATCTTCCTGGCAGGCTTGTTTCTTCTTGAGGTACTCCTGGGATCTCTCAAAGTTGCGTTGCCTGGTTGCAGATTTGCTGCGGATGTAAACCATGAGGGGGCTGTGCGAGTCGGAGTCTTGTGAGCCATTCATGAACATGTCATTGTTCACGTGCTTAAAGCGCTCTGCGGATGAGACCTGGTAATCGAATATGGCCTTTGTTGGATCGTTCCGCATGGCTTCCATTTGTTCATCATCCATGCCGTTCATCTCGTCCTTCCGGAAGACCTGCTCAATATTCGTTATGCCCCATCCAAACACGAAAGTCATCATCACATCTGGGAATGTTCGGTCGTATCCTGATCCACACTTCATGTACAGGTGATGACGGACAATGGATTTTAGGGTGCACGAAGTCTCCATCGCATACTCCATTCTGTCCACGAGTGGCAAATTCTTCGTTTCATTCCACAGTCTCTGATGTTCACGAGACCGTTTGCCGGATTGAAGACGTGCTGGAGTTTGCTGTCGGTATTCGCTGATTTATTGGCGTCTCCGGTGATCGCATCGCATCGGTACAAAGTCACGAGTGGCATGATTTCATTCTGAAGATCTTCCCGTGCTGCTCCATGGCTGATTGATTGATGAATGTGGAAAACTCCAATGGTAGCAAACGGGAGGTCTGCCCTCGTTACGTGGCGGCCGTCATACTCGAGGAGTGACTTGTTGGATGATTTCGGGAGCGTGCCGCGAAACTCATCACTCTGCTCTATATGGAGAACGACAATCTCCTTGTCTCGGCCATGTCCTTGGACAATGGTGCGTGCTGGCAATCTCGGTCCAATGTACTTCTTGGATTCGGTAAACATGGATGGTCTCGTAGTTGCCAAGCAATCCGAGGTCGGAGTTTCGTATTCGGGATCAGTGCAACTTCCTTTGGTTCCGAAGAAACATCTGAACATTCCGAATGTGGTTCCCCAATTCTGACTCTTGGTGGAAATGTGCCTTGCCAGTAGTTCCACTCTTGCAGAAGGTCCGCCGCGGACAAAGCATGCGATTGGTCTGGATGACCATTGCTTGATCACGATGCCTTTGTACTCGAATCGGATGAACGTCTTGATGAGTTCCCTGGATTTCTCATCATTAGGACTGAAGAATGCGTCTGCTTCATTCAGGCATAAGATGTGCGCACTGTTCTGCATCATCATCTTCACGATTGGTCGATCCTTCATCGGCGTGTTGTACACCTCCCTCGTGAGGTTTCCATGGTTCAAGGTAAGCATGTTGATCGCTATGGATGAGGTGAACTCATGCATCTTGAGATAGTCCACAGTCGGTCGGTCGGCTGCATCAACGATCCCAGGATATCGGCATATGCTTTCCGGGTCATCATGTGACCTAAGCTTCTTCAATCCAAGTGGAAGCTTAATCGGATAGCCGGATCCTGGTTGTGCCTGCCTGTACTCGTCCATGGTGGGACATTCTCCTCGATGAGGGAAGTAGAATTCTTCCTCTCCGAGATTGACATCGGGATCGACATGTGCCAATGAGGCTCTCTCGCACTCTGTCAATTTGGGACGAGCTCTTCTTGGATCTTTGTTGTACTTGTTGATGAAGCGGAGGAGGTTCCCCTTGGTCTCCGCGAGCTCTTCCTCGGCGTCCTTTTTGTTCAAAGCTATTTCGAGATAGATTCCCTTGAGTTCCTGGATGAACTCGTCTAGGTTCTCTGAATTGTGATATTCCACGGTGACGGATCTTTCCCCGGAGGGTTCCATGGTCTCCTCTTCAGCTTCGTCCTGATCAGTGGAGTGCCGTCGCTTCTTGGTCTCTGAGGATGTATCTTTTCCCTTGCTGTCTTTGGTGGAAATCACAGAATTGAAGAAGGCATCGGCGAATTCACGGATCTTGGTGTCGTACATCTCGTAATCTTCATAACTGAGATGCTTCTTCATGATCCACTTGTTGCTCGCCATGATGCTGCCATCAGGTTCAAATGCTGCAACAATGTTCCTTGCCTCGATGGCTGTTCGCTCTTCGGAGAGTCGGGTGCCATAGTCTTGGTCCTTGAGGAATGCAAGGATCAACAGTGCATCTCTTCCTGCTGGCACATGGGTTAGTGCTGCTTCTGACTCATCGTCGTCAAGGATGACGTCATCGATGCATGCCATGTGGACGTGCGTTCTCCCCGAAGGGTTTGACTGGGATTTCCCAGATTTGAGCCCGTTCTCCATGATGCTGAGGAGCTGATTTCCATAGGTTGCATGGAACATGAACGTGATGGGCTTCTTCGCAAACGGCTTGATTTTTCTCTCTTCTTCAATGGATGGTGGTGCCGGCCTTCGCATTCTGTACTTGGGCTGAGCTGTGCCTTCATCTTCATGAGGCGCCTCGGATCTTGACGGATGCGGACTTGGTGGAATGGATTCCGTTGGGAGATCATAGTCCGGCTCGTCGTGTTGAGGCTCTCTCTGCTGCTCAGAGTACAGGGGTCGTCCAAAGGATTGGATCTCGACTTGTCGTGTATGTCCGCTGTTGCATCTCACATAGAACTCCATCTCGGGATCGTTATAGAATTCCTTGCCATCGGGCCGGAGTGCATTTTGTGCGGATCTTGTGGTGAGCTTGTCGATCCATCGATTCCTTGGAACAGTTTCTCCCCGTGCCTTGCGCTCACTATATGACCCGCCCGCGGATGGAAACACGAACGCGATTTCGAAACGTGATTTTCCATAGCTCGGGAACATAGCCATCAAGAGAAGTCCTGGCTTATTTCCAATGAAGTTCCTGGCATGTGTGATGCAGGTCAATGCGTCATAGAGCTCAACGGATCCATCAGGACCCATGTCCACTTGTCGTTTGCATTCCTTATGGATGCCACGCCTTGGATGATGTCGATTCCCAGAGGATGAGGTCGGTGATCTGTTTCGCCTTGGATGGATCCATGTGGAAGTATTTGCAAACCTGTTCGACATTCTGGACAGTCTTCTCGAGATCAATGTTGCCGTTGTGGCATACCATCGGGATGATGTCGGTTCCGTAAACTTCGGATTGAGCATTGGTGTAGCAGCAGATGCTGTAGACCTTCTTGATGAAGCCCATGTATTGTTTCTCTGTATGAGGTCCTTCACCTTGAAGTGTTGGCTGCCAGTAATCGTTGAGTCTGGCCTTCAACCAAAATACCTTGACTCCATGTGGTCGTTCATGCTCAGGGATGAAGTGGAAGTCCGGATTGACCTCGAAAATGGTTGAGCGCTCCTTGTAGTATTCGTACACGAAATTCAGGAGTTTAGAGTTTCCAAAAGGTCCTGGGTGTACGGATTCCTTCTGGAGGCTGATGTCCGTATCCGATCCATATG